TTCTGGGTCTCCATGAATTCTTCGAGGATGCAACTCGCCGCCGCGAAGAGTGCGTTAATATCCGATGATCATCGCGCGGCGAAGATGCACCACGATGAAGACGCACGTCGGAGGCAGCCGGACGGTGGGAACGAAAGAGAGGATTGACCAGGAGGAGGTCGTTGGACTCCTTGAAGCGACTCGACCAGGGTGTCGAGTGGTGCCTCTGCGAAAAAAAACGAAACGAAGCGACGACGGATTACCGCTTTCGAGCAGTGACGTAGCTTTCGCGACTGGAGGCTGCCGCGATGAAAGCGAGTTTACCTGTGCCTGCGTGCCGGTAACATGGCGATGCACGTTCGAATGACTACGAAGCAGCGCCGGGTTACCGCTGAAGCTCCTTTCGCATGAGCCACTCCACCCACGCGAATTAGATGTTCCTGAAAATACTTCCGGAAGAAATTATCTCACCTTGGAAAAGAACATTTTTTCCTTCCCTTCTTTCCAATCTTCGCGCGTAGACGGAGGAGATTATCGCGAAAAGCGAGCCATCGAGAGAGTGGCTCATGCGAGAAGGAATCCAGCGAAGCGAAGAAGGTTCTCCTCCGGATACGCACGAAACTTACGCCACCGGAGAATCCAGTAATCTCGCGAGAGTTTAAGTAATTATTGTAAATATCCGTCGCGCAGGCGACGATATATAACAGAGGAGAGATATTCTACATAAATACATAGTTGTATACATAAACACATTATATATTTTTTTTTTCGTGAAGAAACGCACAGATGGACGCGTCGTCGCTGCGGACGATAATAAATTATTGTTACTGATAATATATTACTACTATTATTATTATTATCGTCATCGCTCCTCTTGTTAGTATTACTGTTATCATTGGAAGGCGTCACTGGTTTGGTGATATACTGTATATTGTACGGCGGAAACGCGAAACCTTTTGAGAATCGGGCTTCGAGCGAGAAGGATTCAAACTGCCGAGGCTCGTGGATTTTTTTTCTCTCCTTGTTTATATTCATACACGGGTTGATCGTTCTTCGTGGTGACATTAGAGGCGGAATTAGCCACCTCGCGGCGTTCTGATTGTTACTTAGAGAGAGAGATAAAGAAAGAGAGAGAGAGAGAGAGAAAAAGACAACTATCTTTCCTCGCTTCGTTGATTGTGACTCTTCTCGGCTTTTTCTCAGCTAAGACTGACGAGAGTTCTCGTAGCGATAAGGTAATTAATATCTGACCGTAGACATCGTTAAACGACCATCGCGAGCATAGTCTCATCCATAGACTTTTCCTTAGAGAAATATAATTTAATACTGAAAATTATTTATTCTGACTATTAAAAGCAACAACTGAACAAGAATACTTTTATCATTCAAAATAAATAATTAATCACTTCTTTTCAGTATTAAATTTCGATAAGAGTTATATATAATAGGTTGCGCGTTTCCATTGGAGACGTGAAGACAGCATTAGTAAGAGAAAGAGTAATGGTTGGTGTCACAAATGCTTTCCTTATTTATTTGTACGATGTATAACAGAGAGAGAGAGAGAGAGAGCAACAAACCATTCATATCTCTATTTTTTATGTGTTGTCTTCAGCTGCCATATATAAATGCGTAGTCTATTATGGGTGCTTTTCAGCATTAAGAGCACAGTATAATGCAATGAATCATTACATTCTTGTTACTTGCTAAACAAGGATGAAATAATTCACTGTGTTACACTTCCCTGCTGGAAAGCGCCATGTATAAGTCTATGCTCTCATCTTTTCGCAAGAGAGATCTCGCTCTCCGGTCATTTCGCGTCTCCAAAGATCGACTCTAGACTTGCTTGAAACTATAGACATAATAAAAATAAACTATGCATTCCCGAGATTGTCATTATTGGTTTAAAAGGAATGAGCTTGAAGCATATCGTTCTTCTCTCGCTCTCTCTTTAAAGTATCGATTCGAAGAGAGATGCTGATAGAGTTGAAAGGAGATGCTGATACATTCAATTCTTTTAACTGCATAAACTAAGATCAGGGAATGCTTAGTATATATCTGTTACGTCTATGTAATATTCGAAATGGACGCAAGTGATAACATCGTTCGATGGAACGAGCCGGAGTTGGATTTGTCACGTTTGCGAAACTCGTCCTCCAATGTCGTTTCGTACTCGAGATAGAACGCAGCGGACGGAGTTGTCGAGGCGCGACTCTGACTACTTTCTCGTTACGGTTTTTCTCCCGTCGTTATTATTGTGTGTTGACACCTCTAGTGATATTACGTCCCCGCGTTTCCCGAACTTTTCTATTTCTTTTTTTCCCTCCGGTCTCTTCCCCCGGTACTTACTTGTCATTCTTTTGCCTCCATTCTCGTCGCAGCCCGCGCGTTCTTCGTCTCACGTCTCACCGGATCGTCATTTCTCACCCTTATTACTGTTAAATACATAACTTAGCAATTAAGAGTTTTAACGACCCGCGACGCAAAAGTTTATAGGAATCGCCGCCGATAGGACGCGAGATTTCTGGTCGACTTTAGCTCTCGGCATAAAAGTAAAGCTCGCAGCACTCGATGCTTATTTTCCTGCTTACGTTTTAGCAAATTACTAGAAGTTCTGCGTTCTGTGTGATGTAGTTCTAGTAATTTAAAGCCCAAGTAATCCAGCAGGAAAACGAGCATCGTGTACCGTAGGTTTTAATATAAGTAAGAACTCGCGCGACGCGAGTTTCTGTCGGCGTTGACAAGCTAATCACGCGCCGATGGGAATCGTCGTCACAAACAGTGTGTCTGTGTGTGTATATATATGTATATCATTATGTACATTATATCTGTTACATATTATGTACATACGACTATGTATATATATATATATATATATATATATATATTTATTTATTTAAAAAGAGGACATTTTTCCGTGTCCGATAAAATTGCTCCGTACATACACATCGCTCGCGTCATCCTAGTCGATACACGTATGATACATATCGATACGGACGTTCTGATTACATCGATACGTATATAGATACGTCTATCAATCGCCCATCCTGTAATTAAAGCTCATCATTTTTAATGTATGTGAACTATTGTCGTGGCGTGTAATATTCGTACTTGTATAAAGGCAATCGCCCGCGCTGACGCTCCAATCGTTCTCGCTCGAATCGTCCACGTTGGAGCATATTCTTAAGAACGAATTTCATTATTTTCTTCGAAAAACGGTGACAAACCTTGGATATTTCTAATGTACGCCGACAGCTCTGTACGAATAAAGGTTTGGAAGTAATTTCACTGTCCTGCCTTCATTCCGTCGTGACCCTTTTCGCGCAAAAGGTTTCTTTATTTAATTTAGCACCTCTGGCTGTTATCTGTTAAGAAAAAGATCTCAATTGCTTGTTCTTAAATGCGATTATATTTATATTTAATTTTTATTTATAATTAATAAGGGGATAATGAATCTTTAAATTAACATTACATTTAAAATGAATAATTCGATTTTTTT